TTTCGCCCAAATGTCGTCCACATGTCGTCCAATTGTCAACCCAATCCGGCGAAATCCGGACAAAATCCACAAAACCGCAAGGAATTCTGCGACCCTCTGAGGCTCCCATGAAGGACACAGGGAAGGCACTGGAAATCAGATCGGTTTCCCCTCCCGCCCCTCAAGTAAGAAGTACAAGGGAAAACGTTCGCCAGTAGGACGGCGCCTGAAGCAGATTAGAATCTGGTCATCCACAAAGACATTATTATTTACGGCGAGCGATGGGTAAGCATGCCCACCGTGCACGCATGGGCCCTGTTGGCAGCGATGTGCCAGGCCGCCCCCCCTGCGTGGAATCGGACGGCCGTATGGACTCCATGAACGCGCGTGCTTTTCACAGAGCGCCCACGCACAGTAAAGGCAATGAACCGCTTGCAGTACGGGACACACAATCAAGCGACGGCATGCGCCTAGCATTTGAAACAACAAGCCAGGAAGACCTCGGTAGCGTGGGCGAAGCAGAACCAAGACTGCCGCCAAAATAATACGACGGACGCAGGGCGTCACAAATACACAAATAAGTGTGCAAGGACAATTCCTCAGCTCGGCGTGTTGAGGAGGCTGTCGTCGTCGTCGTTTTGGTGGTGGTGGTGGTGGTGGTGGTGGTGGTGGTGGTGGTGGTGGTGGTGGTGGTGATGGTGGTGGTGGTGGTCATCGTCGCGTTGTCATCATCATCGTCGTCATTGCCGCCGACGTCGTCGTCGTCGCCGTCGCCGTCGCCGTCGTCGTCGTTGCTGTTCGGAATCTCCAAGGACAGCACCGAAGGGATCTTACAGCAAATCCTTGTGCCAGAACGGATATGGATGGACGGAGTACCTGGGAACCAACGCCTGAGGTTGGTCCCCAATGCTTTCGCATTTCAAAGCGCACCCGTTCCCGCCCTTGAGACTGAGCAGATCCCGTCGCTGAGCGAGCTCATGACTTCACGCTCGTACGCATCTGGGCTCGAGATGTGGTGCAAGCACGGGTGCTGAAACGCACCGCAGTGGCCCAGCACAAGCCGCCTGCAAATTCGGATTCGGAACTTGAGACTTTGAGGGGAGCCTACGAATACCGATACCGCGACTCCCAAGACCGACCTCATTCTCACTGGAGCCCACGAAACAGGCGATGTTTGTGCATCTGACAGCCCCTGAGGGAACCTCAAGGTCTCCACTGTGTGTGTGGTGTGTGGTGTGTGGTGTGTGGTGTGTGGTGTGTGGTGTGTGGTGTGTGGTGTGTGGTGTGTGGTGTGTGGTGTGAAGTGTGTGGTGTGTGGTGTGTGGTGTGTGGTGTGGGGTGTGGGGTGTGGGGTCTGGGTGTGGGGTGTGGGGTATGGAGTATGGGGTGCGGAGTGTGGGGGTGTGGGGTATGGGGTGTGGGGTGTGGGGTGTGGGGTGTAGGTGTGGTGTGGTGTGGGTGTGGGGGTGGGGTGTGGGTGTGGGGTGTGGGGTGAGGGGTGTCGGGGTGTGGGGTGTGTGGGTGTGGGGTGTGTGTGTGGTGTGTGGTGTGTGTGTGTGGTGTGTGGTGTGGTGTTGTGTGGTGTGGTGGTGGTGGTGTGTGGTGTGTGGCTGGTGTGGTGGTGTGTGGTGTGTGGTGTGTGG